GTTTTCTTCTCATGCAGTCCTTTGATCATATAATAAATGTTTCAATTATGAGAATGCTGAGTCAGCGTAAGCATTTCCACATGACAGAGAATAAAACAAATATATGAACTTTTTAAAATGTGGTGATTGAATGAGAGGAAAAATAAACACCCGTAACTGATCGGATCTGACAATTTTGTTCACTGTTGAATTATCATCATTTAGAATAGAAGATAAACATCAATAACTATTAGGAATGTATTGAGAGTGAAGATTCTGTAAGAAAGATGAGAAGTTTTCTTTTGTCAGAATTGCCAAGATCCAATCAAATTTTTATTTAGAATTACTTACCTTGGTTTCATCTAGCTATGCATACAACCAATCAGACCGATAAGAAAGTAAAAGGTCTAATCTCAGTCAATCTGTTTGATTGTACGCACTGCTAAATGAAATCAACTTCAGCAATTCTCCATAAGAATCTCGTCGAGTTTTGTGGATTTTTGCAACAGAGAAGTTGTTATCCTTATTAGGCACTATTCATTTTCAATACATCTCTAGTAAATATGGACAAGAACTTTGTTATAATGATGAAAAAATCTTTTAAAAGCAAAAATCTTGATTAAAAATATAAATAATACAATATTTTAAAAAAGCAGAAAAATGCTCAGAAAGCAGAAACGACAGAAAAACAGCAGAAAAATCTTCAAAAAGCAGATTTTTTCTGCTAAAAGCAGAAGAGGTGGCAACTCTGGTAATGACTCAGTGAGTTGCTTCAGTTTAGAGTCTATAATCTAGAACAAATTTTCATATGATTATAATAGGACAGTGAGTTCGCTGATATTTACAGATGCTCTATGTATCCTTCGTTGTAAAATATTTTCAGTTTGAAAAATTAGAATTCAGCAAGAGATTCCGCAATGATACTTGTGCTAAGGCGTGTGTTTCATACATTATTTAAAAAAAACTGATATTCTTTGAAGCAATATAAAATCTATTGAATTGATCTCGGATTCTCGATCAAATATAATCTTCAATCTTATAAAATCATTTCGTGTATTCGTACAATGTGAGGCCTAAAAAAGTAGCTTTTTCGATGAGAACAAGGCATTGCAAAGAAAAGCAATAGCTTTCGAAATTGAAAACTAGTTGTGTGATATCTTTGTACGTAAACTATCTGAAACATACCTCAGGCAATCATTAATTGGTGAATATATTGAAATTTTAGTAACTTAAATGTCTAAAATATATATTTCGTATAGATCTTTGTTCAAAACGTAAGTGATTATTTTTTGACGATTGCTTTTATTAAATTACTATCCGAACCACTGCTAGGCATCGCGAGCTATTGAAAAATATCCGAATGTAGACGTAGACGAAGAGAAGGAGAATACCCACATCTTTATTCATGAGTCAGTTGTACAGACAGATTGTCAAATGGACTCATTTTTGAAGGGCACATGTTGCAGTATTTTATAGTATAATATATTTTAGCCCCTCATCAATTAACCTTGTAGAGTATAATCATGAAAACTGAAGGAAAATCAGAACCATATGTTATAGTCTGTAAAAAGAATTCTCAAGTAACAAACGATTTATACATTTATAATGCTCAAGAGAATTTTTCACTATCATTGATCAGTAACGGTCTATTCTAACAAGTTACCTGTCAATAACAAAAGCAGTCAATGAATGAATCTGAATATAATACTACTATTACTTCTATGTTGAAATATTTTTGTTACGTGTTCCGCCTGCGATTAGTTCATGCACAGGTATCTGACTACTTAAAAAGTCTTTTGCATGAAGATAGTTAAGTTTTTTTGGAAAGTGTTCTTTTGTAGCATAATTTAATAGAATTTTTGGTTAGGTTCCATCGAATATATCTAAGAAAACAGCAATGTGCATTTTGTGAATCTTTCAATTCCTTTTCAATTCAAAATTCGATGTAGTTTTGTTTTTGAGATTACAGCACTTTCTCTTTTCTTTTCTTCACTTTCCGTAATTATCCTCCACAAAACTAATTGACAATATGCACATGTATCTTACTTTAAAAAAATATATGCCGTGTTTTGTTGACAACAATTTTTTCATTCGAAAATATACACGTGGGGCAAAATGTCTATGCAAATTTTATCCGTGACGAAAAGTTATAGTATCAACTTATAGTATTGATTGGCATGTTGAAATTCAAACATTGTAGACATTTTTGAACTGAAGGCGCATCAGTTGTTTTTTCGCTCGCTCCTAAAATCCTAGAATCTTAGAGCACATCAGTCAATAGAGATACTTAACTGTTACTACTTCTAGGTCACCGATAGATACCATCAATACAGATCATGTTTATTCGGATGATTTTCAACAATCATCGAGGCCCAAGGCTCGTGTTTCGAAAAATAATCTACCGCTGAACCGTATTAATCCTACTACTAGTACATATATACGTACTGAAGATGTATGTATTTATATTCTAAATAAAATAAAATAACAATTTTTTTTGTTTTTATATTCAACAACTGCCAACTATGTTATCCGTCGAAAGAAAGTAATAAATATAAAATTCTAATCACTAGGAAACTCATCTGTCTTTATTACTATTACAGGCCAATCAATGATCAGACAATTCAAAGTATCACTTATATAGCGACCATTGTTATTATCGGCTGCATTTTTGTGATCGCTCTGGTCATTGGAGTTATAATCGTTATTTTCAATTTCGAGCAGCGTAAGATACGATCAGAAAGGGGGGGGGGGGTGGGCGGCATAAACAGAATTTAAGGATTCTGTATCTTACACATTTACCATTGCCTAATTCTCCATTCTCTTTACATTAACATAATCTAATTAAGAACTCTGCTCATGACTAGTGCATCCTTGTACAGAAATCAAAAGTATTCTTTGTCTACACTGACACTTCCACAGATATCAAAAATGAGATGAAGTTAATGTATATAGAAATATCAGTTCGAATAATTACAATACCTTTCATGGAGAATTACATAATAATTTATTGTGTGACGAACATTGATATGTTTCGATCCTTATTCTGTTTTTATTGAGAAGGATTTTTTTGGATTTGATGTTTTTCATCTTTTTCGGACAACAATAAACAGGCAATAACGCTCGTCGATAATCGATTCGCTTGACACTAGACTGATGGACTGTATAATTATATAGAATTGCATATAAAAATAGTGATAGTTAAGTAAAATGATGACCAAATAGAAAAATAATAATGATAAAACAGGCTTGCAGCTATAGCTGCTCTACAAATAAACTTTCAGAATTCATAGGAGAAACTAGTTTGAGCTTTTGTAACATAAGATCTGCACTCTCGTCAACGAATCGAAAGAGTTTTCATTGCAACAAACCTGTTCTCCTCTGTAGATTTTCGACCTTTATATCAATGCTTTATATTGGGGTCCGTTCTACCATGGTTCTTAGCTGGGGTAAAACCTACTTCAATATTAATTAGTGGTAAGAAGGACCACCATATATTGAAGTGCTGAACGAAATCACAATATAGAGCAGTGGTATAAGGAACTACAGCTAAGAACTATGGTGTTTTGTACCACTGGTCAATATTAGGGTCATTTGTACTACAGAAATGGGTCTTTTCGATCACAGAAATAGGCCTTTTGGACCATGAAGCGGGCCAATTGAACTATAGAATTGCCCTTTTGGAGCATGGAACGGGTCATTTGAGCATTAGAGTAGGTCTTTTGGATAGAAGTGTTCAGACTTCCAAAAAATGAAATTTCCAACATTAATGTTTTAAATTGTTCAGTATGTCTCAAAATAATGTAATTTCTGGAATTTCTAAAATTTCCATAGTTCTGTACTTACCGAAATTTCAGAAATTAGAGAAATTTCTAAGATTTCTGAAACTTTCAACATTGTTAAAAACGTTTGATTTGCATTGCTATCTAGTTATCGAGTTGACGGAAATTTCGAAAATTTCAGTGACTTCCTTTTTCGGAAATCTGAACATACCTCGGAAAATTAGGCGATTGATTTCCATAAAACCGAAAGTCCACAATGTTCACTTGCTAAGTTTGAAATCGTTCTCTCTTCTTGGTCAATAGAATATAAATTAAATAAGAAAAACTGTGAAAAAAATGATTGCGGTAATAAGTCGATTTGAGTCATTTTGAAGAATTTAAATTAAATGTCTTAAACTACAACCTAAGTTTTATTGTAAAATATGTATTTTAGAGGTAATACTCAGTTCTATCTGCAAGTGCAAAAGCGTGGATTCTAGTTGCTTCTGTTTGAATACATGAGGCTTCGATATTTGAACGGTTATTTATACATCGTAGATAATGTCTTTGTTATACATCATCTTCTTAAGTTTCTTTTATTTTCGTCTCTCATAATGTCGCGCTGTCTATTGAAATGTATACAAAAGTTCATGTCAACTTTGCTTTTAGTGTATGTACAGTATATCCAAGTATTCTCAAGTAGATTAAAGAAATGGAGTTCGAAGGAAAATTTAAATAATCTTGTCCTCAATTTATATGAAAAAAGAAAAATTTGCATTTCTTCATTAAAGTATGTACTATAAAAGAAATATTTAAGAAACATTTATTCATAATGTACTTCGTTCTGGTTTTAGCGAAAAAAGCTGCTTCTCTCGAAATAGTTGAGTTATGCTCTAACTTGTTTTTTGAAAACCGATAGAACGTTGAAGACGAAACATGTTCAACTTATATTTTGTATGTACTTTTTCGTTTCGTTGCTACTGATTTTTGTATATCTACACATGTAAATGCATATAGGCGAATTAGCATTAAAGAAGGAGAGAACAAAGAGGAATAAACAATATTTCATGGCATTATTTCAACCGTAGTCAAATAATTAACTACCATAAAAGTAGAGCTGTCTTTTTTTACGATTAGATTAAGTAGAGAAAATTTCTTTAAATTTTTTATTAGAAAATAATGTATCTCCACTACTATTTCTGACATGTGATAAGTATTACAATTTATTATAAAAATGAATGTGAAACTGTAACTTTTTCAGAAATGCCGACTGGTACAATTCTTCTATACTCTGGAAGTGTATCGACCCTAACGAACCAGAATAATCTATGGCTATTTTGTAATGGTTCGGAAGTATCACGAACTACTTACCATGAATTATTTGCTGTCATTGGTACTACGTACGGAGCTGGTAATGGTATTGACACTTTTAACTTACCTGATTTTCGAGCCCGATTCCCATTGGGTAGTCAGGGAACAAATGACACTTCGCTAATTAGCGGTGGTAATTCATTGCATACGATTACAATAGCAGAATTGCCTGCACATGATCATGATCAAGGTTCACTACAAATACAAAGCAACGGTGGTCACACACATTCATATAGTGATCCGGGACACAATCATGGCGGAGTTACTGGCACGGGACCTTTCGGTACTGGTAGCTTGGCAATGGTAAGCTCCAGTGGATTTGGCGCAGACTCTGGAACTCATACGCATTCAATTTCTGCTGGCACGATAGGCATTACTATAGAATCAAATGGAAATCATACCCACTCAATCAGTGGATCAACAGGTTCACAAGGACAAGGCCAACCCATTAATATGATGCCACCCTATCAAATTGTTCATTATATAATCCGAATATGAAAATCAGCTCATACTTCTCCATGGCAATAAGACTACAAATTGAAATATTCTATCCTCAGACATTATTGTCACGTAAAAAGAAAAACGAATAGATTGTATTGTTTGATTGATATCAATAAAAAACAAACTCTCTTCTAATATCGACAAACTGCATAAATATAGAGTTGTGCATTGCAAGCTTTTGACCAGATGAGTTTTGCTCCGTTTTATCTGAAATCTCTTTCACTTCTATTGCATTAGTTCACTCTAGCATTCAGATCCTATTTTTGCATACTTGAGGGTGTCGGTCTGGGTGTGGGTGTGGTGTGTGTGGGTGTGGGTGTGGGTGTGGTGTGGGTGTGTGTGGATGTGAGTGTGGGTGTGGGTGAGGTCTGGGCAATGGCGTTGGATTCGGTCATTATTCGCTTCCATCCACACCCACACACACCATTCCCATCTACACTCACACCCACGCCCACACCCTTATTCATGTAGTTTTTATCCAGGCCTTTCCTTTCTTGTTCATTATTATTTTACTTGAAATAACAAATTTTTATCCGATATTATAGTGAAAATGATCAGATCATATTTTATAGCATTAGCACAAAATTAAGTAGTACTATAATATAATTTCAACAAATAAATGAAAGAGTTCTTCTCTCGACGAATATCAGCAGATAATGACGATAACATTAGCATTTATTGATGTTGTCCTGATTAAAGTATTGATCATTAGAAATAATTGCTTGTGGTTGACGTTCTTTGCTACAGCGACAACAACAACCAATGCAACAAATAAATATTCAGGATATAGCAATTACGAGGATAACATCACTGTAAAAGTTCGAATGACATATTCCACATTTGGTATTGTAGTGGTGTGGTGATCCGTCGAAATAAATGATGTTGTCATTTCCGATGATCGAAATGTCACTTTGAGAACAATTTATTAGCATCTTAAAAATAAAAATAAAAATAAAATCTATACTATCAATAGTGATTCCAACCTGTCTCTTTATTATCATTGCAGTCATGTCATGGAATAAAAAATTAAGTCAAACGCAATAAAAATCAAAAAATTATACGTTTTCAATAGGATGTTCGTCACCCTTTTATCTATTTAAATCCGCTTTTACCCTAACGTTTCGTTACATGGGATGAGAAGTTATTGTTTAAATATGCTTGTCTGTTCTGTAGATCTCTCGTTCTTTTCTTTATTATTGTTTGACCTCTCATTGTTTTTATTATTCTTTGACCTCTTGAATTTTTTTTTGCTTCGCTATTTCTCTTTCTACATCTTCGATCGATTGTTCTCGTTGTATATCTATCATATTTAGAGAGAAGAGAACAGGACATTATCTGAACAATGTTTCGTGATGTCTTTATTCACTGAAACAAATAAACATGTTATTTATGACTCATAAATAAAAATGGTTCATTTGTCCAAGTCTATCAAAAACTAATATAATAATACCTACCATCAACTTCGAGGAGATAATGTCGTTTTGTGGTCTGCAGGTGAGTTTGGCATTGACAAAATTAGTGTGATGTAGATGAAGAATTAGAATAATTTTTTTTTTAAATACACTTTCCATAATCAAAATTATCTACTATGTTATTTTTTCATATGAGTATGTAATATATAAAATGAATATTCAAGAAAAAAAGTTAATTATAAATGAAACAGCACTTTCTTCAGCTAGAACTTTATAACACATGTTAGAATTATATTTTTTAAAGATCACTACAATATAATAATTCATTAGGAGCGCGCGATATTGAAGTAAAAACAGAGCAAACAACTAGAATGGATTAAACACGAAAAACGATAATTGATTATAATACGAGAAAGTAGACACTAGCACAAGACAAAACTCATTTACTACAGAATCAACAGTATGAAGGCAACTAGTCTTTCAATTGTTTTGAAGAGCACGTTGAAGCACTGCTAGTTTCATAGCGTCATGCATAGCCGTTTTGGATAAACTTTTATTTTCAGGTTTCCATAGAACAATTGATGACATCTTGCGGCGAATACGATAGTAAATGAACATAATACCAATCATTAATATAGTAGCACATACGATGTAGGCTAACCTGTAAAATAAAGAAAAATATTTTAAACACATTCATTCGATATAACAAATTATATGTATAAAATAAGCATGAATTGATAGATGCAATTGAGTTCCATCTCAAATCATGTGAACTGGATACGAGGAAACCAAAATGTCAGAAAAGTGATTAAATAATTTTAGAAGGACATAATAGCTCAGATGGCGCATACGAAAGCCCTGAAAAGAGTGAAATTCACTCTACCTTCAGCACATCAAAACTTGGATTTGTTCCTAAACTAGATAGTAGCTTAATTGAAGTTGCTCTCTTTTTTACGTAGTCTCTTGAATACTGGCTAACAATAAATGATGAAACTTTCAAGATAGATAAGTCCTAATAAATAGAAGAAAGATTTCATGCATCTACTCACTGCTAACATAAGTCTGCACGTCATTTTTCAAGTTGCAACTGTCTTTATGAGAACTAAAATTGAGTTGTTATTTATTTTCTTTGAAAGATATTGTTCTCAGAGCTGAGGAGAAGGAAAATATGGGACATACTGCCAAATGCATATTTTTTAAAACATATTATTTTTTGAAGGCAGACAAATTTTTTAAGAACAAAGCTTGGAAGAAAAAGACATCCATTCTTAGTTTAGCAAAATAATCATTAAAGTTTGAATCCAGTTGAAGGTATTGTGTAGGAGAAAAAAGGAAAAGCTTCTTTTTTTCTTTATATGTTCTTTTTCAGTTAAACACAACATTAAGTCGATTCCTTTTTATCTATGTCTTTTTTCATTCTTCGTCATTTTGAATTTTGTTGTAATCGATAAAAGCCACAAAGGTTCGGTCTTCAAAAAGGATCAGTGTGCCTTTTATATAACGTATTTACCAATTTTCT